TCTGCAGTGTAACACCTGTGTAAGCAATATCACAGCTGTTTCGTGGAACTCATAGTCTGCAGTGTTATACCTGTGTCAGCAATATCTCAGCTGTTTCGTGGAACTCATAGTCTGCAGGGTAACACCTGTGTCAGCAATATCACAGCTGTTGCGTGGAACTCATAGTCTGCAGTGTAACACCTGTGTCAGCAATATCACAGCTGTTTCGCGGAACTCAAAGTCTGCAGTGTAACACCTGTGTCAGCTATATCTCAGCTGTTTCGTGGAACTCATAGTCTGCAGTGTTATACCTGTGTCAGCAATATCTCAGCTGTTTCGTGGAACTCATAGTCTGCAGTGTTATACCTGTGTCAGCAATATCACAGCTGTTTCATGGAACTCATAATCTACAGTGTAACACCTGTGACAGCTAAACTCTCTGTTAGCAGTGTCATGCGTACAGTTGTACCTCTGCATTTCCAGATCTCTATGTGTTATGGATGTTGTATTTTATAATACAAAATAATCTGTGTGATGGTAGTATATATTCTGTGTGTGGGTGGTAAATATTACCTGTGTCAGCAATATCACAGCTGTTTCATGGAACTCATAATCTACAGTGTAACACCTGTGTCAGCTAAACTCTCTGTTAGCAGTGTCATGCGTACAGTTGTACCTCTGCATTTCCAGATCTCTATGTGTTATGGATGTTGTATTTTATAATACAAAATAATCTGTGTGATGGTAGTATATATTCTGTGTGTGGGTGGTAAATATTCTGTGTGAGGGAGGATACATTCTGTGTGTGGGTGGTAAACATTTTGTGGTGGAGGATACATTCTGTGTGTGGGTGGTAACTATTCTTTGTGATGGAGGATACATTCTCTGTGTGTGGTTAATATTCTGTGTGATGGAGGATGCATTCTGTGTGTGGGTGGTAAACATTTTGTGTGATGGAGGATACATTCTGTGTGCGTGTGGTAAATATTCTGTGTGATGGAGGATACATTCTCTGTGTGCGTGGTTAATATTCTGTGTGATGGAGGATACATTCTGGGTGTGGGTGGTAAACATTTTGTGTGATGGAGGATACATTGTGTGGGTGGTAAATATTCTTTGTGACGGAGGATACATTCTCTGTGTGTGTGGTAATTATTCTGTGTGATGGTAGTATACATTCTGTGTGGGGGTGGTAAATATTGTGTGTGATGGTAGTATACATTCTGTTTGTGTGTGGTAAATATTCTGTGTGATGGTGGATACATTTTGTGTGTGGGTGGTAAATATTCTGTATGATGGAGGATACATTCTGTGTGTGGGTGGTAACTATTCTTTGTGATGGAGGATACATTCTGTGTGCGTGTGGTAAATATTCTGTGTGATGGAGGGTACATTCTGTGTGTGGGTGGTAAACATTTTGTGTGATGGAGGATACATTGTGTGGGTGGTAAATATTCTTTGTGATGGAGGATACATTCTCTGTGTGTGTGGTTAATATTCTGTGTGATGGAGGATGCATTCTGTGTGTGGGTGGTAAACATTTTGTGGTGGAGGATACATTCTGTGTGTGTGTGGTAAATATTCTGTGTGATGGAGAATACATTCTGTGTGTGTGTGGTAAATATTCTGTGGGATGGAGGATACATTCTGTGTGTGGGTGGTAGATATTCTGTGTGATGGAGGATACATCCTGTGTGTGTGTGGTAAATATTCTGTGTGATGGTGGATACATTTTGTGTGTGGGTGGTAAATATTCTGTGTGAGGGAGGATACATTCTGTGTGTGGGTGGTAGATATTCTGTGTGATGGAGGATACATTTTGTGTGTGGGGGGTAAATATTCTGTGTGATGGAGGATATATTCTGTGTGTGTGTGGTAAATATTCTGTGGGATGGAGGATACATTCTGTGTGTGGGGGGTAAATAATGTGTGTGATGGTAGTATACATTCTGTTTGTGTGTGGTAAATATTCTGTGTGATGGTAGTATACGTCCTGTGTGTGGGTGGTAAATATTCTGAGTGATAGTAGTATATATTCTGTGTGTGGGTGGTAAATATTGTGTGTGATGGTAGTATACATTCTGTTTGTGTGTGGTAAATATTCTGTGTGATGGAGGATACATTTTGTGTGTGGGGGGTAAATATTCTGTGTGATGGAGGAATCATTCTGTGTGTGTGTGGTAAATATTCTGTGGGATGGAGGATACATTCTGTGTGTGGGGGGTAAATATTCTGTGTGATGGAGGATACATTTTGTGTGTGGGGGGTAAATATTCTGTGTGATGGAGGAATCATTCTGTGTGTGTGTGGTAAATATTCTGTGGGATGGAGGATACATTCTGTGTGTGGGGGGTAAATATTCTGTGTGATGGAGGATATATTCTGTGTGTGTGTGGTAAATATTCTGTGGGATGGAGGATACATTCTGTGTGTGGGTGGTAGATATTCTGTGTGATGGAGGATACATTCTCTGTGTGTGGTTAATATTCTGTGTGATGGAGGATGCATTCTGTGTGTGGGTGGTAAACATTTTGTGTGATGGAGGATACATTGTGTGGGTGGTAAATATTCTTTGTGACGGAGGATACATTCTCTGTGTGTGTGGTTAATATTCTGTGTGATGGAGGATACATCCTGTGTGTGTGTGGTAAATATTCTGTGGGATGGAGGATACATTCTGTGTGTGGGTGGTAGATATTCTGTGTGATGGAGGATACATCCTGTGTGTGTGTGGTAAATATTCTGTGGGATGGAGGATACATTCTGTGTGTGGGTGGCTCATAGTCTACAGTGTAACACCTGTGTCAGCAATATCACAGCTGTTTCGTGGAACTCATAGTCTGCAGTGCAACACCTGTGTCAGCAATATCACAGCTGTTTCGTGGAACTCATAGTCTGCAGTGTAACAACTGTGTCAGCAATATCACAGCTGTTTCGTGGAACTCAAAGTCTGCAGTGTAACACCTGTGTCAGCAATATCACAGCTGTTTCGTGGAACTCATAGTCTGCAGTGTAACAACTGTGTCAGCAATATCACAGCTGTTTCATGGAACTCATAATCTACAGTGTAACACCTGTGTCAGCTAAACTCTCTGTTAGCAGTGTCATGCGTACAGTTGTCCCTCTGCATTTCCAGATCTCTATGTGTTATGGATGTTGTATTTTATAATACGAAATAATCTGTGTGATGGTAGTATATATGCTGTGTGTGGGTGGTAAATATTCTGTATGATGGAGGATACATTCTGGGTGTGTGTGGTAAATATTCTGTGTGATGGTGGTATACATCCTGTGTGTGGGTGGTAAATATTCTGTATGATGGAGGATACATTCTGGGTGTGGGTGGTAAACATTTTGTGTGATGGAGGATACATTCTGTGTGCGTGTGGTAAATATTCTGTGTGATGGAGAATACATTCTGTGTGTGTGTGGTAAATATTCTGTGTGATGGTAGTATACATCCTGTGTGTGGGTGGTAAATATTCTGTGCAATGGTAGTATACGTTCTGTGTGTGTGTGGTAAATATTTTTTCTAATGGTAGTAAATGTTCTGTTTGATGGTAGTAATGATTTGTATGTTGGTAGTAAATACTTTTGTAGTAAATGAATATGTTTTGTGTGATGATATGTAATATTCTGTTGTCATAAAGATCATATACAAATAAGCCATTGTATCCGATGGCTGTATTTATGACAATTGAAGGTCGATAAAGAGACGATATCATGTGTAAGATGTTATTTGTACACAAGTATATATAGAAAACCACATTCATTTTATCAATGTAATTTTGTCTAAATTTATATATTAACTATTAAATGCCGTTAACTTGAGGAGGTTTAAAAACATATTCCTCTATATCATCACTAATAACTGTCTCCCCAAAATTGTGAAAGTAGTTACTGCCCAACCAGTGCTCCTCCAAGGTTTATCAGAGTTATAATTATAACCCCAACCAGTGCTCCTCCAAGGTTTGTCAGAGTTATAATTATAACCCTACCAGTGCTCCTCCAAGGTTTATCAGAGTTATAATTATAACCCCAACCAGTGCTCCTCCAAGGTTTGTCAGAGTTACAATTATAACCCTACCAGTGCTCCTCCAAGGTTTGTCAGAGTTATAATAATAACCCCAACCAGTGCTCCTACTACATTGGTTAAGAGTCATAAGTATAACCCCTGCTACATTGGTTAAGAGTCAAAGTCAGTTTTAATAAAGAAAAAAAGAATTTAAACAGAAAATTTTTCATAATCACTTAGTAATGTAGCATGCCTATTTCCTGACAGACTTTTATGAAACTTCTCACAAGTTTACTTTGTACCCTCAGTAAGTTTAATTAACTTTATTTTATTTCTGTTTTATTTTACAGTATAATATATATAAAGCAATACACAATTGTTGAAATTGGATTTGGAAACAAGTTTTACAACTTATATAGATCAATCAATATGTTAAAGTCATTATCAGTCCAAGATCAAGGTCAGCATTACAATAAATAACAGATTACAGCTTGTGTCCACTCCATAAGTCAAGCAGAGGGTGGGTTATTGTTAGCCTTGATCAATGGCTTTAGTTGCCCAACCACTACCTCCTGCTTGAATTGTAAGAGTAATCTTCCGCAGATTTGTGAGAGTGAAATCTGCCTAAGCACTGTCCCCCAATCATTCCGCATATTTGTTAGAGTGAAATCTGCCTAAGCACTGTCCCCCAATCATTCCGCATATTTGTGAGAGTGAAATCTGCCAAACATTGCCCCCGAATCCTTCCATAGATTTGTGAGAGTGAAATCTGCCAAAACATTGTCCCTTGAATCTTTCCCAAGATTTATGAGAGTGAAACCTGCCCAAATACCGCCCCATTCTCCCACCCCCACCCCCACCCCCTACCAAATGGCTTTTGAAAATAATATATAGCTGCTAAACCAACACTTACCGATGATTAGCACTTCAGCACTAGTTACACTCCTAGGTTTGTCCTATCTAACCGTGAATATGACATTATATGAATTGTTTTCTCTGTCTCTAGGTCAAGTCACAAGGCAAGAAAGCATACACAGGTATAAAGAACAAAATGGCTGATTTAAAGAAGGTAAGTAAAGCATGTTGTTATATAAAGGTTGTATGTGATGGTACAGTGTTTGTGGTGTTGTTTCTCTGTTAGACCTCTAGACGGACTACTGCCCTACCCCTTGGCTGTTGGTTGTAGTCAGGGCTATATGGTGGTGTTCTCACATTGAGTTTTATTATGTTCATCAGTTACAGATTATTTTGTGACAATATTCCATCACATTCAAAGTCACAAGGGTAGATTGTGTGTATACTGACAAGTAGGTTCTATAGCGAGTGTTAGTATCTATAGCGAGTGCTAGTATCTATAGTGAGTGTTAGTATCTAAAGCGAGTGTTAGTATCTATAGCAAGTGTTAGTATCTATAGCGAGTGCTAGTATCTACAGGTATCTATAGCTAGTGTAGCGAGTGTTAGTATATATAGCGAGTGTTAGTATCTAAAGCGAGTGTTAGTATCTATAGCAAGTGTTAGTATCTATAGCGAGTGCTAGTATTTAAAGCGAGTGTTAGTATCTATAGCGAGTGTTAGTATCTATAGCGAGTGCTAGTATCTATAGTGAGTGTTAGTATCTAAAGCGAGTGTTAGTATCTATAGCGAGTGTTAGTATCTATAGCGAGTTCTAGTATCTATAGCGAGTGTTAGTATCTACAGCGAGTGCTAGTAGCTACAGCGAGTGTTAGTATCTAAAGCAAGTGTTAGTATCTATAGCGAGTGTTAGTATCTATAGCGAGTGCTAGTATCTATAGCTAGTGTTAGTATCTACAGCGAGTGTTAGTATCTATAGCGAGTGTTAGTATCTATAGCGAGTGTTAGTATCTAAAGCGAGTGTTAGTATCTATAGCCAGTGTTAGTATCTATAGCGAGTGTTAGTATCTATAGTGAGTGTTAGTATCTAAAGCAAGTGTTAGTATCTATCGTAAATGTTAGTATCTACAGCGAGTGTTAGTATCTATAGCGAGTGCTAGTATCTATAGCGAGTGTTAGTATCTATAGCGTGTGTTAGTATCTACAGTGAGTGCTAGTAGCTACAGCGAGTGTTAATATCTATAGCAAGTGTTAGTATCTATAGCGAGTGCTAGTATCTATAGCGATTGTTAGTATCTATAGCGAGTGTTAGTATCCATAGTAAATGTTAGTATCTATAGCGAGTGTTAGTATCTACAGCAAGTGCTTGTAGCTACAGCGAGTGCTAGTATCTATAGCGAGTGTTAGTATCTATAGTAAATGTTAGTATCTATAGCGAGTGCTAGTATCTATAGCGAGTGTTAGTATCTATTGCAAGTGTTAGTATCTATAGTAAATGTTAGTATCTATAGCGAGGGTTAGTATCTATAGCGAGTGTTAGTATCTATTTCGAGTGCTAGTATCTATAGCGAGTGTTAGTATCTATAGTAAATGTTAGTATCTATAGTAAATGTTAGTATCTATAGCGAGTGCTAGTATCTATAGCGAGTGCTAGTATCTATAGCGAGTGCTAGTATCTAAAGTAAATGTTTGTATCCATAGCGAGTGTTAGTATCTATAGCGAGTGTTAGTATCTATAGCGAGTGCTAGTATCTATAGCGAGTATTAGTACACATACTGTATATCAGGTTAGCAACAGGAGATGAAACGAAAATCTGCTCAAAATCAATTTTCGGTGTTAGTCATGTACTGTTAATGCATAGAAACACAGAAACTATCGGGAAGGTACCTAAGAACGCCTGACATGAAGAAGGGGAGACCACTGGCCATCATAATATTGGTTCTAGGAATACCTATGTTAACATTATCACTTTAGCGTGTGATAGTTTTTCCACATTTGATCAAGCAATTACCATTCTGTTTTCCTATATTTAATTATCTTTCAAATAAAGCAACAGTACTTAGATACTCATGGAACCAGATATACAGTATATGTGGTCCTTAGATTACTGTGGACAGCTGTAGACTTTTATTGATGATGTCATCAATTTCAGTGTATTTTTGTGGTGTACATATACAACAACAGGTTTAGTTTAATATTGATCTCAATTTCATGCACAAACATTTGTATTAAATTTAAGCTGTTGTAACATTTTAACCTCTAAATAAAAAAAAATCAATTATTGTACACCTAGCACAAAATGCCTGGTTACCTATGCTATGGCACATTGTCTGTCGACACCAAGTTTTTAAAAATATCTTTAAGAAATATAATCCTTGAAATCATGATATTTGGCATGTAGTTTTCAGGAGTGCAGGGGAAACAGTTTTGTTCTAATAAATGACATTGACCTATATTCAAGGTCACTGTGTTTATTCTTCAATTTGTTTATTCTAAAGAACCACGAGATCTAGACGTAGTCGTAACATTTCGCCTGTACTTTCAGTGGTGAAGGGTCATAAAAGTTGGTCAAAATAAATGAAAAAAATCCAATATGACCACACATAACTCTTGTTAAGCATTTCAGCATCAGATATATTTTGGAAACACAATTGAATAACAGTTGAGCAATACAGGCCCCTTGGGTCTGTCGTTATAGATATATCCTTGTTTCTGTTAAGTCTATGCTATGCTGTTTGAGCGTGTTATAAGATGTTTATGTTTGATAACCAGGAACCGTTACCACCGTACAGGACGTTACAGGAGGTGATTGTTCAGATTACTATCAATTAATCATTCTCTTAATACCTGTATCAATGGATATTTAACTGGTCGATGTCCTTGGTTTCTGTATATGTCTGTCGGGAGTCGAGGGTGACACTCTAGTGAAATACTTACACACTGTTATTAAAAGTAATTTGTAATTATTTCCTTACTGGACAAAGATATGAAATTCTATTTTCCTTTTCGAAAAGACATTATAGAAATATACCCAAGCTGTTTACAATGAACTGTTGAAGGTCTGTGTTCACTAGATGGTTTCCTGTGCTATATGTCAGCTATACGTATTGTGTACTCCAGTGAACACCCAGTGTCTTTATTACCTCTCCCTGCCTACCCGTTACGTAATTGGTTTTGGTGATGATTTGGAGCTGACCTGTGAGAAACATTCAACATCCAGATGTTATTATATGTTGATAGTCTGCCCAGCTGTATAATTAGAGTACTGATGGTATTATATACCACGACGACCTGTCAGTTATCTCCCCTTTACCTCAGTCGGTGTGGTACCATGTTTCTGCCACAAGTCAGCTCCAGTCCTATCATACTGTGGATGGTACTTACAGTCTTTGTGTGGGCTTTGAAGCAGAAATCAGTCAGTGTCACTTGATGGAATTTTCAATTAATACCTTCTTTCTATATTTTCGATTGATTTTGCAAGCATTTAGCTTTTAATTATGTACTTAATAGTTCAAGTGACAATTACAACAATGATGTCAGCTCTGACAAGGTCATTGTAACAGAAGTGTTTACCAGTTAACTAACCTTGCTTCAAACTTATTACGGTCAAACCTGTCTTACGGTCAAACCTGTCTTACGTGACCTTTGACGGCACACAGGAAAAACGTCCTAAAAAACATCCTAAAAATAATCCATAAACACTCAAACACATGTTACTTATCAGAATAAATTAGTTCGAAAGTTAAAAAATATGTAAATGCTATGATAAGTTCCTATATTAATTTGCATGTAGTTTGAAAGGAAACTTATAACTTTATGAAGTTTGTTACAATCAATTATTTTTTGCAACCTATACTCCTTAATGGTAGGTTTTAATTTTTAGATCACATCAAAAACATTGAATTTCAGAGTCTGCTGGTTTTAAGTGTAAACAATAGTTTAGTGTATGAATTGCACATCTTCTAATGAGGTTTATTTTCGGAGTCAGAAAAAGGCTGCTTAATTCAAACTCATACAGAGCAGGTAATTATTAAAAGCATTTTATAATTCTGAATTTCTATTAGTTGCATATTGATAGACTTTGATCCAATAATTTGATTAATTTAGTTAAAAAAGACACTCCTCAATCACATATACTAAAAAGAATTGATAGTAAATGTTTAAATGACAATTTAACAAACAATAAGACAAGTTTCACTGAGTTGTTTATTTTTGAGATAAACAGTCCACAGAACATGTATTTAATTTCAAGATGGGCAGTGGTTTTTACTGTGGCATATGACTTTCAGAAACTTTGGATAGTTTATGTTTTTTTGGAAGGGGGTTGGTTATAACAGGAGAAATCTATCTACTGAGTTTTGAGTTGACAATTATTAGACATGGTCAGTGTGTCTTACAAGCTGACCAAGTTTACTACATTTCTAGCCACATCATTGTTATACTACGCAGAAAACAGTCAAAAGAGTTGCTAAAGGGGACATATGTTACGTCAAGGGAACAGAAAAACACAGAAAAAAGGAAAACTTGTTAAGAGGTGGCATACGACAGGTGGTCGCTATATAGAGGTGGTCACTGAGACAGGTTTGACTAGTTTTACATAACTGACAAAAAATAGTATGCTTTAATGGTGTTAGTCGGCTGACATTGTAACACTACAAGTGTCAGCAGCAGACTTAATGGTTCTGTTCATCTCTATGATCCTACGTGATGTGTAACCACCAGTTATTTATCTAATGACCTTGAATAAAAATATGTTTAATTAACTTTACACTGTTGATAAGGTAGTTAACACCAAAATGACTGCTTCAAATTAATATACATAAACCCGGTATATTCACATACTTCAAGTTCTTCATATGAATATGAACCAACGGAACCTTCCCTAGAAGGCATTCCACAGGGGATTTTGAGATTAAGGTCAAAGTCATCGTAGAAGCTCAAATGTCAGAAAAAACTTTTCTTGTCAAAAAAATATTTCTTCACATTTGTAGACCCTTGTAGGTCAAAGTTGAAAATATCATTTTGAGTATGATTTTATATTTTGATCCATCTTGTTCGTTAAAACTTTATACACATATGTGCAGCATCACTAGGCATGTGCTGTTTCAAATTTTTCAAACCTCTTTCCAAGGATGAGATCCAAGTATAGGTCAAGATTAGTGGAGGTCAAAATTCAAACATGTGCTTCAAGATCAACATCACAATTTTATATGAATGGTCAATTTGCTTAATCATGAAGTATTTCTATTTTTAAAAAAACCACATAGATTTATCATTCAGTAACACTCAGTAATGGCTGACGAAGGATGATAAGGAATAACCAATGGTGGTATTTTAGTGACAAATTCATAACCTGCTAACCAGTGTAAATCTTGTATACCACGTATATATCTGTGTTAGGACTGATTTACTTGTGTATACCGGTACCGTATATACCCATAGCTTTGCTAGGACTCTTTTAAAGATAAGTTCTGTCAATAGATGTTAATATTTTCATGGTTCACAAAAAGCAGTTGAACTTTAACTGTTAAAGAAACTCAAAGTTGAAATCTGCTTTAAGAGTTAGAAATATTCCACTTGTGGATTTATCAGTTTTTTCGTCACTAATTTTTTGTACAGTTTATATATCAAGATTTGTGGCATATAAGGGGAAAAATTGCCCTATGAATAGAAACAAAATTAATCCTGGGAAAAAGAAGGTTGATCAATTTTTGCATATCTGAATGGCACCATTGTAACAATAACAGCAGTGACGAAGTGGATCTGGTTTGCTGCAAGATTTCACTGTGAAATGAAGACAAGAAGTATCAAAATTTTGCATTGAACATGTTGTCAGTTCACAAGCCTAATAAATGTGCACGCTTCATGGTAATTTGCTTGTTCCAGGAGGATGAACCTGCTAATATGAAGACTAAAAGCATGAAATCTCCGTCCACCCAAAAAATGACCTCGCGCGATCGCCCCTCCACTGTTATAGGCCAGCCACTGAAAACACTGCGTGTAAGTTATACGGAAAACAGGCGATCCATTATAATCATATTCTACTGTGGAAGCCACATCACATACAGTTCTCTCCCATTGCCGTTACCCCTATAACATTTATCAAAGGAATCACCCTGTCTGTCCGTCTTTATTGATGTCCAACTATAATAGCTTTGTTTTCAGCTACACTCACCAAACCTCTCAGTACAACTACCCTTGGGATGAGGAGGAACTGCTTTTAATTAAGGTCAAAATGGCCAAATCAAAATGTCAAAAAGAGGTCACGGTAACTCATTATGTGAAAACCATTTACAAACTCTGGAGTAGAATATGCTGTAGTACATTTAACTTCACGAAATTATTTATAATGAGATGAAAAGGTAAACCTTTGATTACAGGGTCAAAATGCCCAAGTCAAGGTCAGATTCCTGATTATAAGAAGGATATCTTTCTACCTATGACATCCAAATTTCACAGGATATCTTACAATGGGTCAGCTATAACTACGTCATACCGTTGGAGTTAGAAAGTCAGGGGTCAACTTCAGTTTCTCCTAGAACATTCATTCAGCTACTTCACAGGAATTACCGGACAGTTAGGGGATATAATTGAACCCCATTGAACAAATTTTGCTTATTTCACTGGAACATTCAAACTATATTTGCTGTTTTGCTTACTTAAATGATAAAAATTTATGTTCTAGTTCCATTTTTTTTTTCCAAAATTTTATTCAATTTTTTTCTCTTCATTGATATTTATATGATTTTCAGGTAATACATTTTTTACTCTAATATTGATTATTCCGTCAAGTTATGATATTGATGTGCTTGGTTGTAAAATAAGGCTTGGTTGTTGTATTAGCATGACTGGCATTTATTTTTTGCATGTGATATATTCTGTATGTACTGTTTATATAGCCTTGTTCATTCTTCTCATACCATAACTTTGTCATGTTGAGGTTAGCCTCTCTTTGAATTAGCTCTTCTGGTCCACAGTACCAAGTGGGTTATTTGCAAACAAAAACCTGTCAATTCAGATTTTGAGCAAGTTTTGTAGGAAGGATTTATTCATGGTCATGAATGTTTTGATTTGAAATAAAAAATCATCATCAATTTCTTCTGACGAATGGCCATTCAGAGTTTAAAACAACATAATAGAGATGATGTTTGTATTATGTGGTCCATTTTGAAATTCCTGATGGTTATGATGATCTCCTATTGGCTGGGATGTATTCACCTTCTTCGTGTAATGAAGAAATGTAAGGACAACATTTGTAAGTGACTCACCTAAAATAAGCCACCCCTAGTATGTACAAGATTTGTAAGTGATTCACCTAAAATAAGCCACCCCTAGTATTTAAAGATTTGTAAGTGATTCGCCTCAAATAAACCACCCCTAGTATGTAAAGATTTGTAAGTGATTCACCTAAAATAAACCACCCCTAGTATGTAAAGATTTGTAAGTGATTCACCTAAAATAAGCCACTCCTAGTATGTAAAGGTTTGTAAGTGATTCACCAAAAATAAGCCACCCCTAGTTTGTAAAGATTTGTAAGTGATTCGCCTCAAATAAACCACCCCTATTATGTAAAGGTTTGTAAGTGATTCACCTAAAATAAGCCACCCCTATTATGTAAAGGTTTGTAAGTGATTCCCCTAAAATAAGCCCCCCCTAGTATGTAAAGGTTTGTAAGTGATTCACCAAAAATAAGCCACCCCTAGTATGTAAAGATTTGTAAGTGATTCACCTAAAATAAGCCACTCCTAGTATGTAAAGATTTGTAAGTGATTCACCAAAAATAAGCCACCCCTAGTATGTAAAGATTTGACCCTATATTCTCTATACTGTATATTCATATTGTCTCACTACAACCTAAGGGACAAAAGGGGCTATGCTTAGGTTATGATGGGGCTGTACTCAATGTCAGAAGAAGCTTAGATCATAGTAAGAAGGGAATGTACTCTGGGTCAGACTGGGCTGTGATAGGGACAGGTGGGGCTGTGATAGGGACAGGTGGGGCTGTAATAGGGCAGGTGGGGCTGTGATAGGGACAGGCGGGGCTGTGATAGGGACAGACGGGGCTGTGGTAGAGACAGTCGAGGCTGTGATAGGGGCAGGTGGGGCTGTGATAGGGACAGTCGGGGGTGTGATAGGGACAGGTGGGGCTGTGATAGAGACAGTTGGGGCTGTGATAGGGACAGTCGGGACTGTGATAGGGACAGTCGAGGCTGTGGTAGGGACAGTCGGGGCTGTGATAGGGACAGTCGGGGATGTGATAGGGACAGGGGGGGCTGTGATAGGGACAATCAGGGCTGTGATAGGGACAGGTAGGGTTGTGATAGGGACAGGTGGGGCTGTGATAGAGACAGTTGGGGCTGTGATAGGGACAGTCGGGACTGTGATAGGGACAGTCGAGGCTGTGGTAGGGACAGTCGGGGCTGTGATAGGGAAAGTCGGGGGTGTGATAGGGACAGGGGGGGCTGTGATAGGGACAATCAGGGCTGTGATAGGGACAGGTAGGGTTGTGATAGGGACAGATGGGGCTGTTACAGGGATAGTCGGGGCTGTGATAGGGACAGGTGGGGCTTTGATAGGGACAGGAGGGGCTGTGATAGGGACAGACGGGGCTGTGGTAGGGACAGTCGGGGCTGTGATAGGGAAAGTCGGGGGTGTGATAGGGACAGGGGGGGCTGTGATAGGGACAATCAGGGCTGTGATAGGGACAGGTAGGGTTGTGATAGGGACAGGTGGGGCTGTGATAGGGACGGTTGGGCTGTGATAGGGACAGTCGGGGCTGTGCTAGGGACAGGTGGGGCTGTGATAGGGGCAGTCGAGGCTCTGGTAGAGACAGTCGAGGCTGTGATAGGGGCAGGTGGGGCTGTGATATGGACAGGTGGGGCTGTGATAGGGACAGTCAGGGCTGTGCTAGGGACAGGTGGGGCTGTGATATGGACAGGTGGGGCTGTGATAGGGACAGTCGGGGGTGTGATAGGGACAGGTGGGGCTGTGATAGAGACAGTTGGGGCTGTGATAGGGACAGGCGGGGCTGTGATATGGATAGTTGGGGCTGTGATAGGGACAGGTGGGGCTGTAATAGGGCCAGTTGGGCTGTGATAGGGACAGTCGGGGCTGTGGTAGGGACAGTCGGGGCTGTGATAGGGAAAGTCGGGGGTGTGATAGGGACAGGGGGGGCTGTGATAGGGACAGTCGGGGCTGTGCTAGGGACAGGTGGGGCTGTGATATGGACAGGTGGGGCTGTGATAGGGACAGTCAGGGCTGTGCTAGGGACAGGTGGGGCTGTGATATGGACAGGTGGGGCTGTGATAGGGACAGTCAGGGCTGTGCTAGGGACAGGTGGGGCTGTGATATGGACAGGTGGGGCTGTGATAGGGACAGTCAGGGCTGTGATAGGGACAGGTGGGGCTGTGGTAGGGACAGTTGGGGCTGTGATAGGGACAGATGGGGCTGTGATAGGGACAGTCGGGGCTGGGATAGGGACAGTCGGGGCTGTGATAGGGACAGGTGGGGCTGTGGTAGGGACAGTTGGGGCTGTGATAGGGACAGATGGGGCTGTTACAGGGATAGTCGGGGCTGTGATAGGGACAGGTGGGGCTGTGATAGGGACAGTCTGGGCTGTGATAGGGATTGTCAGGGCTGTGTTCTTGGTCAGATTGGGCCATGCTAAGGGTAAGCAGAGTTTTTGCTGCAGGGAATGTGATAGGGACAGTTGGGGCATGCCCAAAGATAGATGTTTGATGTGCATAAAAACATTTGAATAATGAAACTATCTTCAAGAAAATGTTTAGTTCGTTATTTGTCAAGTTAGCTACATGGGGACTGTCTATTAGGAACCCTATCGCAACCTCTGTTTCTATAAACAGTAATCAGGTACAAATAAATGTGTATATGAATATGAGTTTTACTGGGGTGAGACACCTGTGTTATTTGATATTTATTGACCTTATATTCTAGCCTCCCAGACCCTCGATGCTGTCCTCGCCGACAGGAGACAAGCTGATTGTTGCATCCTCATCACAGGACAGGTAACCTTACAATACCTGATCACTCATCTATAATTTCTACAGGGCAGTCATTATGTCAATCTTTTCTCAATAAGATATGTTGCCTTCAATAGTGTATTCACGAGGACATAATCTGCCAGATATTGTCTGGGAAATGTATTGTTGCTATTAAAATATTTGTATTCAATAGTATCATATTAAGCTTGGATGTTTCATTTTGTTTGTAGGATATCAAGATATAAGATGATCACAGTAGAAGAAAAGGTTTATGATGACTCTGATGTAGAGTTATCATACAACAGGGTTAGTGTGAATCTTTTGAGTGACCCAGATATACAGCAGGCACTGAACAGAGCTGCCAGTGCAGAAAACATCGTCCGTATGTCAGGCAAAACACATCAACTGGTAAGGAGAGTTTTCCTTACCCGGTGTGGTCATGCATGACTGTGTGTGGGAAAGTGCAGCACTGGATTTGCCTTTCACACCTGCTTCAACTGTTCGTTACCCCCCACCCCCCACCCTGTTCAACTCCAACCATACCCACTTGTGTCTGATAACTAATACCCCTTTCTCAACTAACAGTACCCCTCTCACAATTAAACATACCCCTCTCCCAACTAGCAATAACCCTTTCCCTACTAACAATACCCCTCTCCCCACTTACTATAACCCTTTTTCCATTAAACATACCTATCTCCTCACTGACCATACCCCTCTCCCCATTAAACATACCCCTTTCTCAACTAACAATACCCCTCTCCCCATTAAACATACCTCTTTATCAACTAACAATACCCCTTTTTCCATTAAACATACCTATCTCCTCACTGACCATACTCCTCTCCCCATTAAACATACACCTTTTACAACTAAAAATACCCCTCTTACCCCTTTCCCAACTAACAATAACCCTCTCCCCATTAAATACACCTCTTTCCCAACTAACAATACCCTTCTCCCCATTAAACACACCTCTTTCCCAACTAATAATACCCCTCTCCCCACTAGCATACTCCTATCCCCACAAATCTACCTCCCTGTCTTGTTTTCATTCCTTTCCTGTCCATTCTATGTCTTACCTCATTTTCTTGCTTTTTGTCACCTATGAAGCAAAGATGATTGGCAGCATTATCAGTGTCTCCATTGGCTGTAAAAGGATTTCCATGAATCTTTCTACACATACCTCTGGTATCATTTACCGGGTCCAAATATCAACAGAGGCTATTTTAGATTATTGTGAAAGCCCACTTTGATTCTCAGTGATAACCCTTTGAGGAATATGTCTTACATAGAACTTTCTATTATTCCAATAGCAAACTCAAGTTTGATTCCGACTCAAATCTGTAACCTTGTCTAGCCTTCTTTTGTTTTACCTCTCTTGCCTGGCCTTCTTTTGTTTTACCTCCCTTACTCTTTGTCTTATCTCCCTTGTATATACATTCTTTGTCCTACTTCCTTTACCTGTCCATCATTTGTCTTACTTTCCCTGCCTGCCCCTCCTTTGTCCTACCTCCCTTGCCTGTCCATCTTTTGTCCTACCTTCCTTGCCTGCCCCTCCTTTGTCCTACCTCCCTTGCCTGCCCCTCCTTTGTCCTACCTCCCTTGCCTGCCCCTCCTTTGTCCTACCTCCCTTGCCTGTCCATCCTTTGTCCTGCCTCCCTTAACTGCCCCTCCTTTGTCCTACCTCCCTTGCCTGCCCCTCCTTTGTCCTACCTCCCTTGCCTGCCCCTCCTTTGTCCTACCTTCCTTGCCTGTCCATCCTTTGTCCTACCTTCCTTGCCTGTCCATCCTTTGTCCTACCATCCTTACCAGTCCATCCTATGTCCTACCTCCCTTGCCTGTCCATCCTTTGTCCTACCTCCCTTACATGTCAATTCTTTGTCCTATCGCCATTGCCTGTCCATCCTTTGTCCTACCATCCTTACCAGTCCATCCTATGTCCTACCTCCATTGCCTGTCCATCCTTTGTCCTACCTCCCTTACCTGTCAATTCTTTGTCCTACCTCCATTGCCTGTCCATCCTTTGTCCTACCATCCTTACCAGTCCATCCTATGTCCTACCTCCATTGCCTGTCCATCCTTTGTCCTACTACCCTTACCTGTGCATCCTGTGTCCTTCTCCCCTTATCTGTCCATCCTGTGTCCTACTACATGTGTTTCACATGTTTATCCTATGTACTACCTTCCTTGCCTGTCCATCATTTGTTCTACCTCCCTTGCCTGTCCATCATTTGTTGAAATTCCCTTACCTGACCCTCCTTTTTTCTGCCTCCCATTTTGTTCATCCCTTGCCTGCTCCTTTGCCCTACCTCCCTTGCCCTACCTCCCTTCTCCCTTGCCCTACCTCCCTTGCCTGCTCCTTTGCCCTACCTCCCTTGCCCTACCTCCCTTGCCTGCTCCTTTGCCCTACCTCCCTTGCCCTACCTCCCTTGCCTGATCCTTTGCCCTACCTCCCTTGCCTGCTCCTTTGCCCTACCTCCCTTGCCTGCTTCTTTGCCCTACCATCCCTTGCCTGCTCCTTTGCCCTACCTCTCTTGCCCTACCTTCCTTGCCTGCTCCTTTGCCCTACCTCCATTGCCTGCTCCTTTGCCCTACCTCCATTGCCTGCTTCTTTGCCCTACCTCCCTTGCTTGCTCCTTTGCCCTACCTCCCTTGCTTGCTTCTTTGCCCTACCATCCCTTGCCTGCTCCTTAGCCCTACCTCCCTTGCCCTACCTCCCTTCTCCCTTGCCCTACCTCCCTTGCCTCCTCCTTTGCCCTACCTCCCTTGCCTGCTTCTTTGCCCTCCCATCCCTTGCCTGCTCCTTTGCCCTACCTCTCTTGCCCTACCTTCCTTGCCTGCTCCCTTGCCCTACCTCCCTTGCCTGATCCTTTGCCCTACCTCCCTTGCCTGCACCTTTGCCTTACCTCCCTTGCCCTACCTCCCTTGCCTCCTCCTTTGCCCTACCTCCCTTGCCTGCACCTTTGCCTTACCTCCCTTGCCCTACCTCCCTTGCTTGCTCCTTTGCCCTACCTCCCTTGCCTGCTTCTTTGCCCTCCCATCCCTTGCCTGCTCCTTTGCCCTACCCCCCTTGCCTGCTTCTTTGCCCTACCTCCCTTGCCTGCTACTTTGCCCTACCTCCCTTGCCTGCTTCTTTGCCCTCCCATCCCTTGCCTGCTCCTTTGCCCTACCCCCCTTGCCTGCTTCTTTGCCCTACCTCCCTTGCCTGCTCCTTTGCCCTACCTCCCTTGCTTGCTTCTCATTATTCCTAGCTTGTGTCATACAAGGATGTATAGCTTACTTGCACAAAAAGTAAGAGAACAAATGGACATTTTAGGGTATGACCATTACATGCATACTCATATTTATTTTATTCATCTTTATTAACTGAGGTGCTGACCCTGATTGTAAAGAAAAATGCTGCAAAAAAGTGAACTAGTTTTGCTGATGACGGAGGCTAAATATCTTTGTATGACACTTCCCTTACATACCTTTCCTCTGCTTAACCTCTCTAACCTACCCCTCATCTGTTTAAGGTTGCTAACTTAGGTACCTTCCTGGCATGCCTCTTTTCTACACTATGTCCATGCCAGTTTGCTGCTGTGGTTTTTCTTCGTGCTTACTTGGGTTTGTATGCCATAGTAGAATGTTCGGACACAGTGCATGTGCTTGTTACATTGGTGATATATTGTTTAGTCTCCGACATCAGTAAGATTAGTCTGGCATTGATAATATTACCTTGTGATTGGTTTTACTGCCAAATATACATACGACAGTGTTGTGATATGTATGAGAGTGTATTGCTATATTCTTGTCTCACACTTTCGTCAGGATGGGATATAAATTTAGGTGGTAAGGATGGAATGTTAATTTAGGTGGTAAGGATGGAATGTTAATTTGGGGGGTAAGGATGGATGGTTAATTTAAGTATCTGGTTACAATTTGGGTGAAAGTACATTCCAACTCCTTCATACTGACAGCATATTTGGTAAGGGACTAAACACTTGTGAGACCTGACAAGATTGATGGCCTTACCTGTGGGAAGGGTTGACTTTGTGAGACCTACAAAGGTTGATGGTCCTTACCTGTGGGAAGGGCTGACTTTGTGAGACCTACCAGATGGTCCCTACCTGTGGGAAGGATTGACATTGTGTGACCTGACAAGAATGATGGTCCTTACCTGTGGGAAGGGTTGACTTTGTGAGTCCTGACAAGGTTGATGGTCCTTACCTGTGTTAAGGGTTGTCTTTGGGAAACCTGACAAGGTTGATAGACCTTATCTGGGGGAAGGGTTGACGTTGTGAGATCTACCAAGGTTGATGGTCCTTACCTGTGTTAAGGGTTGTCTTTGTGAAACCTGACAAGGTTGATAGTCCTTATCTGTGGGAAGGGTTGACGTTGTGAGATCTACCAAGGTTGATGGTCCTTACCTGTGGGACGGTTCATTTTGTGAGACTGTTGTGAGAGTTCCTATGACACTGGAAAGTGGTTGATTTTAGATAAAGTCACTGTTTATGTTAAAAACAAACATAATATATAGGACAGATGTGCTGTTGATAGTTCTTATGGAGGAGTTCATGTCCTAGTTTCCCATGTGCTTTACCATGCACCGCTGTACATGGTCACTATTGTGTGTAGTTATATTGCTTTACTTTATACTCATATTTGCTGCTCATGATGATGAATTTTCTGTATGTTTATTTAACATATTTGTGGAACGAGCGACGCAGCCTTACCCGACAATGACAACACAATGGTATACTCTATACAGTATATACATATTTATTTACACTATTTATAGAGATAATGTACAACACACATTAATATAATACATACTCACTCACACTCACAACACACAAATAAATACAGTCTAAAGGAAATGTTCTGTCAAATCCAGATCCTCTTCTGTAAACTATCCTAAACTCCTCTGGAACTAGAACAAAGTCTACCTCACACAGCCATGAGTTAGGGTTGCCTATCCCACTGGACAGCGTCAAAACATGCAAGTGTTTACACACATCCTCCATCTAGAAGGGTGGCACAATCTACTGGCACTGTAGACAAATTGGGTGGTCTTACACAATAGACCATCGACTTCAGTGTAAGTCCTCCTCTATGCAAAGAAACCGAAATCCTCTATGACAATAAACCGCTGGCTATCTTAGGATATGTCGTACCGCCGCTGTATCACACCCAAATGACCCTGTCATGGTCAGATCTGTCTCGAGTGTCAGCTGGTCTGTTCAACAGATGATCCTCCAGATAATCCCAGGGTAGAAAGCTGGCAAAAGATGGAAAATATGACAGAAGATGACTAAAATCCATATAAATTCACGTAATTTGAATGTCACTTCACATATTTTAACTATACATTTATTTCACGCATGCGCTTCCATACTTTTATAATTCTCACAAACCGACATTTCGAATACCTAAAAGGATATTGATATTTAGCACCTAACATGTCACCTATGGGCCTCCGTACCTACAGATAATGCATACGCACAAATGATGTAATGTACAATAACATCTAGGTTTCTGATAATTTACACACAAGTAACACACAATTGTCTTCTTCATACAACCAATATATACTACTACATATTACAATTATAACACGTGTAAAATGGTTTATAGACGAAATGCACACGTAAACAACTCAGTCACGCATGAGTGGACCGCACCACCTCAGAATGCTTGACCGGTCTCCATCAGGTAAATTACACAATCCAAGCGGACCAAATACATGGTACATCAACAAACATGGGTTAAACACTTACCACAGTCAGCTGTCTGTGCTTTCCTCATGGAGCGGCCTATGAAAGTACATAATATTGTCCGTTCTCCATGTGAACATGCAATACCGCCATGTTTCAAAGTTTCTTTCCCCAGTACCTAACACACGTACACAAACATTACATACAAAACATACCAAAATACCTACCAACCGTATACATACATATGCAAGCGTGACAAGCACATTGTTTTGCTACAAATCATAGTTGTGTTATTTGAGCACATTGTTTTGCTACAAATCATACTTTTGTTATTTGAGCACATTGTTTTGCTACAAATCATACTTGTGTTATTTGAGCACATATACAAGTATCTGTATTAATGTGTTGTAGATTGACCGACATACAAGTATCTGTATTAATGTGTAGTACATTGACCGTCATACAAGTATCTGTACTAATGTGTAGTACATTGACTGTCATACAAGTATCTGTACTAATGTGTAGTACATTGACCGACATACAAGAATCTGTACTAATGTTTAGAACATTGACAAAAAGACAAGTATCTGTACTAAGGTGTAGTACATTGACTGTCATACAAGTATCTGTTCTAATGTGTTGTACATTGACCGACATACAAGTATCTGTACTAATGTGTAGTACATTGACCGACATACAAGTATCTGTATTAATGTGTTGTAGATTGACTAACAGACAAGTACCTGTACTAATGTGTAGTACATTGACCGTTATACAAGTATCTGTACTAATGTGTTGTAGATTGACCAACACACAAGTATCTGTATTAATGTGTAGTACATTGCCCGTTATACAAGTATCTGTACTAATATGTAGTACATTGACCGACACACAAGTATCTGTATTAATGTGTAGTACATTGCCCGTTATACAAGTATCTGTACTAATATGTAGTACATTGACCGACAAACAAGTATCTGTATTAATGTGTAGTACATTGACCGGCATACAAGTATCTGTACTAATGTGTTGTAGATTGACGGACACACAAGTATCTGTATTAATGTGTAGTACATTGACCGTTATACAAGTATCTGTACTAATATGTAGTACATTGACCGACACACAAGTATCTGTATTAATGTGTAGTACATTGACCGTTATACAAGTATCTGTACTAATGTGTTGTAGATTGACCGACACACAAGTATCTGTATTAATGTGTAGTACATTGACCGTTATACAAGTATCTGTACTAATGTGTTGTAGATTGACCGACACACAAGTATCTGTATTAATGTGTAGTACATTGACCGACATACAAGTATCTGTACTAATATGTAGTACATTGACCGACACACAAGTATCTGTATTAATGTGTAGTACATTGACCGTTATACAAGTATCTGTACTAATGTGTTGTAGATTGACCGACACACAAGTATCTGTATTAATGTGTAGTACATTGACCGACATACAAGTATCTGTACTAATGTGTTGTACATTGACCGACATATAAGTATCTGTACTAATGTGTTGTAGATTGACCGACATACAAGTATCTGTACTAATGTGTAGTACATTGACCGACATGCAAGTATCTGTACTAATGTGTTGTAGATTGACCGACATACAAGTATCTGTATTAATGTGTTATACATTGACCGTCATACAAGTATCTGTACTAATGTGTTGTAGATTGACCGACACACAAGTATCTGTATTAATGTGTAGTACATTGACCGACATGCAAGTATCTGTATTAATGTGTCTGTACTAATGTGTTGTAGATTGACAAACAGACAAGAATCTGTACTAATGTGTAGTACATTGACCTCCATACAAGTATCTGTACTAATGTGTTGTAGATTGACCGACATACAAGCATCTGTACTAATGTGTAGTACATTGACCGACATGCAAGTATCTGTATTACTGTGTCTGTACTAATGTGTTGTAGATTGACAAACAGACAAGAATATGTACTAATGTGTAGTACATTGACCTCCATACAAGTATCTGTACTAATGTGTTGTAGATTGACTGACACAAGTATCTGTACTAATGTTTTGTAGATTGACCGACATATAAGTATCTGTACTAATGTGTTGTAGATTGACCCATATACAAGTATCTGTACTAATGTGTAGTACATTGACCGATATACAAGTACCTGTACTAATATGTAGTACATTGACCGACATACAAGTATCTGTGCTAATGTGTAGTACATTGACCATCATACAAGTATCTGTACTACTATGTTGTAGATTGACCGACACACAAGTATCTGTCCTAATGTGTTGTAGATTGACCATCATACAAGTATCTGTACTAATATGTTGTAGATTGACCGACACACAAGTATCTGTATTAATGTGTAGTACATTGACGGACATGCAGGTATCTGAAATAATGTGTCTGTACTAATGTGTTGTAGATTGACAAACAGACAAGAATCTGTACTAATGTTTAGTACATTGACCTCCATACAAGTATCTGTACTAATGTGTTGTAGATTGACCATCATACAAGTATCTGTACTAATATGTTGTAGATTGACCGACACACAAGTATCTGGACTAATGTGTTGTAGATTGACCGACACACAAGTAACTGTATTAATGTGTAGTACATTGACCGACATCCAAGTATCTGTATTAATGTGTCTGTACTAATGTGTTGTAGGTTGACAAACAGACAAGAATCTGTACTAATGTGTAGTACGTTGACCTCCATACAAGTATCTGTACTAATGTGTTGTAGATTGACCCATATACAAGTATCTGTACTAATGTGTAGTACATTGACCATCATACAAGTATCTGTACTACTATGTTGTAGATTGACCGACACACAAGTATCTGTACTAATGTGTTGTAGATTGACCGACATATAAGTATCTGTACTAATGTGTTGTAGATTGACCACTTAGACGGGACATCGTCTGGTCCATCCAGTGGTAGGAACTCTCCTTCCACGGTCAGCAGCTCCTCGGCTTTGGAGTACCAGGAGTCGGACAGTGCTGGATTACACAGTCAGGCTAACAGAGACACGTTTGGGAATGTGCCATTTATTGACATCAGCTCAGAAGATGAATATGTTGGCTTGTCCAATTCAAGTGATCAGTATGTAAAACTATCCTCGTCCTCCAGGAATGTTTCCGCCTCTAAGTCGAGCCAGGAAGATCAAAGTCGACCAGTTGCTCCTCCCCGGAGGTCCAGGAGTCCTCTTACAACGATGACGGCAGACAGATTAATTAGTGATAGATCGAAGGGGGGAAGTCCACCACATCCAGCCCCTCACAGGCCACATGGCGCCCCCAAACCAATACCTCGGCAAAGTATAAAGCGTAAGAGTGAAGGATTTCAACAGCAAAAACAACTGGAAACAGAGTCACTAATGCAGTTTCAAAATTTGGAGTTGGAGGATAGTTTTGACCCATTCAAATCACCGACATCACAGACAGTTGCTCAGATAGACAAGTTAAAGGACTTAGCCTCACCAACTGATGATGATGTCAACAATGTGACTAGGACTCCAGCCTTCAGGATGCCTGGAACTGGTGTTCCTAAGAGATTAAGCATGAAGAGAGATAAATCTTTATCCCCGGAGAAAGACAGTAATGCTGGTCAGAGCTTGTTGGATTTTGACCCCCTGGCTAATACCAGCCAGGGTCAGTGCTCTATCCCCCAGAACACTGGGTCACAGGGTAACCCAACCTCTCCAGAACTTCTGCAGGATTGGAACATTGACCATCTACAGACTAAAACATATGACCTGGGTCCGTTGCCCAAGCCAGGGTTTGTACAAAGGACAGCTGCCGAGTTTGCTCTCGGTTCGAGTGGTCAAAATAATATAGGTGTGTCCTATGGCAAGCGCCTCTCCCCTGCAGTCCTTCAACGCCCATTCTCAGTCCATACTGACCATCAATCATCATCCTCTAGTCCATACTCTACCCTAACTCCATACAACCCTCTCAGGGCCTCTAGCTACGGGCCTGTAACATCATCACCCAATATTCGTAAGGCAGGAACCTCACACTCCAGAGGCGTGGGAAATGCTGACCCCTTTGCTGACTTGGTAGGAATCCAGTTAGGGCCCACCAGTCAACCACCTGTCCCTAACAAGGGCGTGGCTTCCCCAGCAACACAAGTGAATAAGTGGGAAACATTTGAATGAGAAACAGTGATATGTATGTGATGTTGTGTATTTTTTGTTTTTCCATGGTTAAAGCTGTATGATAATGTGTATTTACAACTGTACTCCAGCTGTTAGTTCCTCCAGTCTCGTAGCTCTCTAACTGACATTGTATATCTCCCTCTGTCCTTATTAGTCTGTCCATCATTCTAACTGACACTATATCTTTCTCTGCCTTTGTTAAGTCTGTCCACCATTCTAACTGACAGTATCTCTCCCTCTGTCTTTGTCAAGTCTGTCCACCATTCTAACTGACAGTGTATCTCCCTCTGTCCTTGTTAAGTCTGTCCATCATTCTTACTGACACTATATCTTTCTCTGCCTTTGTTAAGTCTGTCCACCATTCTAACTGACAGTATTTCTCCCTCTGTCTTTGTCAAGTCTGTCCACCATTCTAACTGACAGTGTATCTCCCTCTGTCCTTGTTAAGTCTGTCCATCATTCTTACAGACAGTATATCTCCCTCTGTCTTTGTTAAGTCTGTCCATCATTCTAACTGACAGTATATCTCCCTCTGTCCTTGTCAAGTCTGTCCACCATTCTAACTGACAGTGTATCTCTGTCTATGTTTGTTAAGTCTGTCCACCATTCTAACTGACAGTATATCTCTCTCTGTCCTTGTTAAGTCTGTCCATCATTCTAACTGACAGTATATCTCCCTCTGTCCTTGTTAAGTCTGTCCATCATTCTAAATGACAGTATATCTCCCTCTGTCCTTGTTAAGTCTGTCCACCATTCTAACTGACAGTATATCTCTCTCTGTCCTTGTTAGTCTGTCCACCATTCTAACTGACAGTATATCTCCCTCTGTCCTTGTTAAGTCTGTCCACAATTCTAAGTGACAGTATATCTCCCTCTGTCCTTGTTAAGTCTGTCCACCATTCTAAGTGACAGTATATCTTCCTCTGTCCTTGTTAAGTCTGTCCATCATTCTAACTGACAGTATATCTCCCTCTGTCCTTGTTAAGTCTGTCCACCATTCTAAGTGACAATATATCTCCCTCTGTCTTTGTTAAGTGTGTCCATCATTCTTACAGACAGTATATCTCCCTCTGTCCTTGTTAAACCTATCTATTTGTACCTTTTTAGAGCATATCTTGTGTGTCAATACAGTGAGGTTGTTGGTTAAGAGTTATAACTACAGATACTGGTACAACAGCATCTCTAGACAAAGTTTTATACTGTTGGACTAATGTATATGTCATCATAGTGGTTAAATGCATTTTATATATCTGCAGTATTAACATTCAATTACAAATAAATCAAGGTTAACAAGCAAAAAAAACAACAGTTTGAGATGAACATTTTTGCAACACAGGTGTCTAGGGGATCAAGTATACTGTGAAGTTTGCTTAACGTAGAACTGCACATTAGACACTAGTGCCACCATTTCCTTATATGGAGTCTTTTTCTCCTTATATTTGTTGGCTTGTGCCTTTACTTATCCACACATTCATCAGGATGGCTTAAAAGTAAAATACTCATTAGTGTAAACTGTCTCAGACTAATCCTCCTAACATGGGAGACCAAAGAAGGATATAGTGATATTGATAACTGCTCAAAGGAGAAAGTAACCTTGACTTATTAAATATTAATGTTTGTACAAGTTTTCAAGTTTAATCTAGTTCACTACTGCATTAAAGGTTTTATATTAATTTCTATTTTACACAAACCAACTTGTGTTGGAGATAATGACTGGTTATGACAGAAATCAGAACTTGATTGTAGAATCAGAATCATAGTCCGTCTATGCGTATTGCAGAGTTATCTTCTCTTGTGAGCAGCTATTGAATGTTACATCAATGGTTTGTGTGAGAAAATTACGTTGTTTTCTCAAAAATTGATGACGTTATTCTCGCAAACAAATGACGTAGCAATCAATACCTGTTCCCAAGAGCAGATAACTCTGCAATATGAAAAGACGGAATAGCACAACCAGTAACTTATGTACTCTGTCACCTTTATCACACACAAAAAATGCTAAACCCTATGTATACTAAGGTAATAAATATGTACGAGTTGGCAATAAAATCGCCATCAATTCGGCTTTGCTATTAACATATGTACATTTAGTTGAAGACTAACAATTTGATCGCCATTGTTTACATTAATAACCACTGAGTGTACAGACAATTATTGAGTTGCCAAAAGGACTGCATGGTTATATTTCACACCCTAGTGTTCACATCCTTCATTGGTCGCTTGTCACACATCAACATTTCATTGGGTGTACTTAAATAGCCTGTTTACAATCCATACTTATCAACCTGAAGAAAATGTTTAGATACACGCCTTTGTATTTTTGATAAGAAAGGTAATAATCATTTACTCATCAAAAACTGACTTTCCTCAAACAATCAAACATGGTTTCCATGGATATTTTTCTGCTAGCATGTGAAAACGATGTTGCAAATACTCTCTTCAACTTAAATATAACATTAAAAGATATTTATGTGGATGTTGATAAGGGCGAGGTTTACATTTCTGCAGACAACATCACCAGGAGCCCAGGATTGATTGTCTTACAGAGGCCAGTTTTATTACCAGGAAGTAACATAAATAGCAGAGTTATGGATTAACATGATTAAAAATGTTTCTAGTAATACAGTGTATAAATTATTGATTTATATTTACAGAAACGATCCTTGAGGTTTTGTTCCTTGGTTTTAAGGTGGATTTGTTATTGTTTTAACTGGTAACTGATGTGTTGAATCATAAAATTTCACATGTACATTTTTCTAGGGAGAAAATAGTACTGTTTAGATACATTAAAAGACGAGTTCTGCAGCTGTTAATGAATGAAATTCCAAATAGATACAGTTTTTATAGGTATAGTCTTGTAAGTAAGTTTTAGTCAAATTGATTTACAATTATAGTAAATCTTTGAAGAGGGAACTTGCATTACAACCAATAGAAAATCTATCAATCTGACTACTTGGTGTTTCGTCTGTCCAATGTGCTTGCCCAATCACTGTTGCTTGTTTAGTCTTTCATTGCTTGATTTGGTGAGATATATTTATTGGCTATTTTCTTAATTGGATGTTTGCTTTACTGGTGAGGAAACTGTGAGGACGCTGTGAAGGAGTTGGGCAATGTTATACTATATTACTGGTGAGGACGCTGTGAAGGAGTTGGGCAATGTTATACTATATTACTGGTGAGGACGCTGTGAAGGAGTTGGGCAATGTTATACTATATTACTGGTGAGGACGCTGTGAAGGAGTTGGGCAATGTTATACTATATTAGGATTATCTTGCTTGTTACATGTCACTATAATATAGGTAAATGGCAATGCAAAGCTACACATTTATTTATATTTTTTAATTAAAAGCAATATCTGTGTTTTCTGTTTTTAGTGATTCTGCTTCGAAGCATTGACAAGGTCAGGTGGTATCAGCCTACCCTTCCAATACAGACCACATTCTAATGAGATTTTATGTTACCACAGCAACTTATACAAGGTTGTGTGTGGGGAATTTATAGCAGTCCATGCAATCACTGATTAGGTTCAGATGTACAAGGAAAAGGCATGTTAATGTTACATATGTTGTGTTATGTTAATTATTGTAGAATATAGTGACCTAAATGGGTCGTTGTCAGGTGATGTCTGACCTGACCTAAATGGGTCGTTGTCAGGTGATGTCTGACCTGACCTAAATGGGTCGTTGTCAGGTGATGTCTGACCTGACCTAAATGGGTCGTTGTCAGGTGATGTCTGACCTGACCTAAATGGGTCGTTGTCAGGTGATGTCTGACCTGACCTAAATGGGTCGTTGTCAGGTGATGTCTGACCTGACCTAAATGGGTCGTTGTCAGGTGATGTCTGACCTGACCTAAATGGGTCGTTGTCAGGTGATGTCTGACCTGACCTAAATGGGTCGTTGTCAGGTGATGTCTGACCTGACCTAAATGGGTCGTTGTCAGGTGATGTCTGACCTGACCTAAATGGGTCGTTGTCAGGTGATGTCTGACCTGACCTAAATGGGTCGTTGTCAGGTGATGTCTGACCTGACCTAAATGGGTCGTTGTCAGGTGATGTCTGACCTGACCTAAATGGGTCGTTGTCAGGTGATGTCTGACCTGACCTAAATGGGTCGTTGTCAGGTGATGTCTGACCTGACCTAAATGGGTCGTTGTCAGGTGATGTCTGACCTGACCTAAATGGGTCGTTGTCAGGTGATGTCTGACCTGACCTAAATGGGTCGTTGTCAGGTGATGTCTGACCTGACCTAAATGGGTCGTTGTCAGGTGATGTCTGACCTGACCTAAATGGGTCGTTGTCAGGTGATGTCTGACCTGACCTAAATGGGTCGTTGTCAGGTGATGTCTGACCTGACCTAAATGGGTCGTTGTCAGGTGATGTCTGACCTGACCTAAATGGGTCGTTGTCAGGTGATGTCTGACCTGACCTAAATGGGTCGTTGTCAGGTGATGACTGACCTGACCTAAATGGGTCGTTGTCAGGTGATGTCTGACCTGACCTAAATGGGTCGTTGTCAGGTGATGTCTGACCTGACCCAAATGGGTCATTGTCAGGTGATGTCTGACCTGACCTAAATGGGTCGTTGTCAGGTGATGTCTGACCTGACCTAAATGGGTCACTGTCAGGTGATGTCTGACCTGACGTAAATGAGTCGCAAAACACAAAATCAGAAATAAACACACCCAAAAATATCACGAAAAACACCTCACCTGATGAATGCACCTGCCTTAAAAAGTTGAAACCCACATGACTTGAGTATGGTGAACCTTTTGTGGAGATGTGTGTCTCTCCCTCACAGCTTAATTATTTGTTGGTTTCTTTTTCCTTTCTTTTGAAGACCATCATTTTGAGTATATAAACAGTTTTATTTTTTTTAATTATGGGGATCTTTTCACTACGAGATTTAGTGGAATCTCAAAATGTCCCACAGGAAAAGATTGACAGAAAGAAAGTTAATACAGTAAACATACATGCTTTAGAAGTAGTGTTATTTTAGCACCTTGTGTATCTAGTTGGTGTGCCAATTCATCAATTTTCTAATCTGTTAGAATTTATTGATGTGCTAAGACAAGTACATTTACAGCAGTAACAATGAAGTTAATTGTACTACAGACATGATTACAGCCCATACACATTTACAAACAAATTATAGAAATTCCTAAAAGAAAACAATTGTTATTACTTTGTTTTAAACAAATGTTATGCGTTTCATTGAGAAACAGCTGTTTTTTTTATTTCAATGTATTGATGTTATGTATTGTTAAGTGTTACTTATATTGAATTCAAACTGATGCATGACAGCAAATGAAATATGATTATTAAAGATAAATATGAATCTTAGCAAGGTTTTTGTTCCTTTTTTCCCCCCATGGCTATGTACCTGTCACAAATATTTCACAACAGGAACAATAATTATACAATTATACTCTTCTGATCTTACTCACTACCATTTTTCGTAGTGAGTAAGATCAGAAGAGTAAGAAGAAGGCAATTAAAATGAGATTGTAATTGTTAACAAAGGAGATGACCAGGACACACATGGTGGTAGGAACTCAAAGGGAATGGAGTGTGTGGGCATGTCTGTGTGAAGGGTTGAAGGACAATGGTGTGTGGATGTAAGGTCCATTTAGTATAATGCATTGATAAGTTAATCGTGGTCCTTAGACAGGGAAATGGTCATCAAAAGACTAATAAAAGAGAAATGTAGCCCCGCCTCCTAGGGATGGAATTAGCCAATAGAATTAGAAGATTTAGTTAAGTAGAAGTAGTATTAGATTGTCTTTATAATAGGTAGAGATCTAAGGTTGACAAGAGTAGAAGGAGAGAGCTGAAGGAGAGAGTCCAAGGACAGAGTCAGAGATAGACAGATATAGTTTACAGAGAGATCTTGGGAAGTGAGACTGAAGAGAACTAAAGATAGAAAGAATGGAGATGGAACAGAAGGGAAGGGATTGAATAATTCAGTTTCCATGTATAAGATATGAAGTTGGACTAGAATAAAGGAAGTGGAACTGACATAATGTGTCATCATTTGTAAGCTTAAATTCCAAGTTACCTAGGGTCCCAAGTAATAACAAATCAGACCCTAGTGACACACAATCGACCGGTGATAGTATGTCGGTCCTATTGTTGGTATATCAGTCCTATTGTTGGTATGTCAGCCCTATTGTTGGTATGTCAGCCCTATTGTTGGTATGTCAGCCCTATTGTTGGTATGTCAGTCCTATTGTTGGTATGTCAGTCCTGTTGTTGGTATGTCAGTCCTGTTGTTGGTATGTTAGTCTTATTGTTGGTATGTCAGTTCTATTGTTGGTATGTTAGTCTTGTTGTTGGTATGTCAGTCTTTTTGTTGGTATGTCAGTCTTATTGTTTGTGGGTCAGTCCTTTTGTTGGTATGTTAGTCTTATTGTCGGTATGTCAGTTCTATTGTTGGTATGTTAGTCTTGTTGTTGGTATGTCAGTCCTCTTGTTGGCATGTCAGTCCTATTGCTGGTATGTCAGTCCTGTTGTTGGTATGTTAGTCTTGTTGTTGGTATGTCAGTCTTATTGTTTGTGGGTCAGTCCTTTTGTTGGTATGTCATTCCTATTGTTGGTATATCAGTCCTATTGTTTGTATGTCAGTCCTATTGTTTGTATGTTAGTCTTATTGTTGGTATGTTAGTCTTGTTGTTGGTATGTCAGTCCTGTTGTTGGTATGTCAGTCTTTTTGTTGGTATGTCAGTCTTTTTGTTGGTATGTCAGTCTTATTGTTGGTATGTCAGGTCTATTGTTGGTATGTTAGTCTTATTGTTGGTATGTTGGTCTTATTGTTGGTATGTCAGTTCGATTGTTGGTATGTTAGTCCTTTTGTTGGTATGTCAGTCCTATTGTTGGTATGTCAGTCCTATTGTTGGTATGTCAGTCTTATTGTTGGTATGTTAGTCTTATTGTTGGTATGTCAGTCCTATTGTTGGTATGTCAGTCCTATTGTTGGTATGTCAGTCCTATTGTTGGTATGTCAGTCCTATTGGTTGTTAGGCTGGTCCAATAGTCATCAGAACTATCCTAACACGAACCTAAAAACATACCTTTAAGTAGTATACCATGTTTGTTGAATACAAAAGATATCAATTTCAGATCCTTATAAGATGTATTGAAGTTTGATCTTTTCTCTTCTATCTGTTGGATTGATAGTCATGTCAATATCAAATGCACCATTAGAATTTTTTTTCAAAACTTCATACTGCTGTGCTTGACATGCAAACGAGAGATTTCAAGAAACCAAATTTCTCTTCTGGTCAAGTATCAAAGTTATAATTATAGAAAAAACTTCCTTATGAAATTTGAGACAGACCTGCAATTTACTCTTGAGAAATAATATGACAGTCAAATTGTAGAGCCTGCTTAAAGTTTCTACAATAAAGCTGGAAATAAATCATGCACAGCAAAGCAGTCAAAAGGAGTCTAGGCAGGAATCTTGAAAGATCCATCCAGTTCTTCATGAGAAATAGCGATAACTGAAACTCAAAATCAAAGATTCCTACCATGCAGCCATCTTGTTCTTCCAATCGGTTAAAAGGACCAAGGGAAACTTAAATATAAAAGTTGAGAAAAATGGAAAGTACATCTTGAGAAATTGCGATTACAAACTTAAACTGTCAGATGATGATGATGATGGGCTGAAAATGAGCAAAGGGCTATAACTGTGTATAGTGGGACACAAGAGCTAGTTCCAATATTTAAGTGCAGCAAAGTAGATAAAATGGTAAGGAATATTTCTACTCCAGATACACATTGCTATAAAAATGGACTAGGGCAATTATTCTGTATCCAATGGGGCACAAGACCTAATGTCTGAGTGCAACACTCGGCCCTCCCAAGATACATAAAAGTATAGCAAGACTGGTTAACATAAGTAAAATATCAAGGATACGTCACACTGTCCCCTTTCATAAATATAATTCTTCATCGCTCGTCATGTATTTGTGTTAAAAAACAAAATATTAAACTTGCTTGGTTAATATATTTTATTTAAAAGTAGATAATTTCATGCAAATTAAAAAACATTGTACAAAATAGCCTTTTTTCACAATTATTGACAACATATTTGCAGATGTACACTGCTCATGCTATAAACAAAGACCCAATTGTCCCTGGATGGCAATGTAAACAAGCATTGCTCAAAACAGATTCACTGCTCACTGTTCACTGCTCACATCTGTTTTAGTACCCCTTCCCTCAAATAAGCCAGTATACCTTCACATATTAGTTTTGGTACACCTAACCTTCACATATAAGCAGTGGACCTTCACATATTAGTGTTGGTATACCTTCACATAATAGCCAGTGTACCTTCACATATTAGTGTTGGTATACCTTCACATTATAGCCAGTGTACCTTCACAT